ATTCGGGCATCTGACGGTTGTTTACATTGCAGGCTGGATTTAGATGAATAACAATTGAATACAAGTTTATGTCATCCCAGTGCGAAACTTTTCAGCCGTACATAAGCGTGAAAAAACAAAGCGCGATCAAATTCAAGACTTCAGGTCTAGTGGTGAGTAAATTGCTTCAAGAACCATTTATTTAGGCACTATTGGAGCATAATTCAAACTTTTACTGATTCAATTTTCATATTCATTGAAATATTGTTAAGAAGTTGAGCTTAGCTGAAATCTGTAAGACTTATAATTATCTACACTTTCAGGTTTAATGAAAATGCATCATTTGATAAGATTAGGAATCAAGATCCAATGAAGATCTGTGTTATAAATCCATCACTATAATATCACTTGATGAGCTTCGCCATTTGATTGTTGTTCATCATTTTCACACACGATTGTTGATAAAGATCTTTTTGTAGCTTTATAAGTCAGTTAGAACTAATGTATAAACTCTATAGTTTTATTACTTTGTAATTTATAAGGATTCAGTATTTGATTATCTTTCATTGAAATATTACCATTCTGATCTATCTAATACTTTGTTTTTTTCTTAATTACTATCTTGTAGTACTTCTGCTACTGTAAATATACATTGGCTAATTTCTCACATTCAACGTATTTATGTTAATATTTTGTTAGTGAGTATTCCAAGAATTTAGATAATTAGATATACAGTAAAGAGATTTGTGAAGATTTTAGTATTTTCACAATTGAATTCACAAGTCAATCTAAAATATATTATCATTAGTTTAAAGGTTAAACGTTCACACTATAGACTGAAGCACTTAAGTTCGAGTCGGACTTGTAGAATCGTAGTGTTGCACTACTGAAGAGTCTCGTACTAGGATGAAACGACTGTCTAATGCTTTCAGATTATCAATAGTGGTCTATCTCTAATCAACTCATCAATCCAACTAGGAATATATATATATATATATATATATATATATATATATATATATATGAGTTATTTTTTCTGGTTAGCGTTTTTTTAGCGAGTTAGGTTTCTACGGGATGGGGACGCTAACCCCATGCCCAACCCTCCTCCTTTACCCGGGCTTGGGACCGGCAGTAACTCTGGAAGAGCTACAGGCGGAGTTATATATATATATATATATATATATATATATATATATATAATTTAATGTGAAAATTCGCCCACAACTTGATTTATTTTTATCTGATTCTGTACTTCTACCTTATGATAAGGAAAATAATTATCTTTTATTATTATTATTATTATTATTATTATTTATTCTTCTTCTTCTTCAAGAAGGCCAAAAAATCATATTTATGAATAATTGTCGATAACAATAGAAATAATTGCTGATTTAATTTAAACATCAAATTTTCCATGTTCATCTATCTTTAGTTGACACATGATCTCAACTATTGAAATTACTATAGTTTCAACACGCACACACATACACACACACAAACACCCCTTTTGATACTAATTTAAATATATTTGATTATTTATTGAAATAAAGTCTTTTTATTAATAGACAACATGAAAAAGAAAACCAAAAGAAACTTTGATGAAATATTGATTTACTATTATAATCTAAAAGGAAATTTCAAACAATAAAGTAATAATAGTTGGAATCATGAGTCAATTGAAGCTAGATCACCATGGAAAACTTGGAAGAACTGGACAGACGTTTCATCCTAGTATAGGACTCGTCAGCAGTGCGCATTCACGATCCCGCACCCCCTACGAGATTCTGACACAGGACCTATCAGTGAGAAACCATGACCAGTGGAGTTCAACCGGGCTTGTTGTGAGATATCTGCTCACAATGGTGAACGGTGGCGCAATTTAGTGGATTGGTTGAAGTTAGATATAAACACCGTTAAAAGCCGGAAGGCTCAGTGGTTTAATGGTTAAGCGCTCGCGTGCGAGACTGGCGGTTCCTGGGTTCGAATCTCGTGGGGGGGGGAAGATCGTGAATGCGCACTACTGAGAAGTCCCACAATAGGATGAAATGGCCGTCCAGTGCTTGCAGGTTTTCGATAGTGGTCTAGCTGGAATTGATTCATGACTTCAATTATTGAAATTACTGAAATCTCCACAAAACCCCTATTGACAGTAATAATAATTGAAAAATATTTTTTAAAGAAAATAAATAAATAATTACTTTATTGAGAAAAATTGCATATGACATATAATGAATTCAATAACTGAAATGATAGAAACCATTTTATAAATTTACAAAATAAATGAAGTATATTCTACTCTATATTTGAAAAGAAAACAAAATGACCCCTTTTTGAATGAAAGAAAATAAATAAATAAAAATTAATTTCAGAAAAGGGTTTTTGTGGATATTATAGTAATTTTTTTAATAGTTGAGTTCACGAGTCAATTGAAACTAGACCAATATGGAAAAACTGAAAGCACTGGATAGCTGTTTTGTCCTATTGCGGGACTGATCAGCAGTACTCATTTATGTTCCCGCCTCATAAGATTCAAACCCAGGAACTATTGGTAGAGTGCGAGTGCTTAACCTCTAGACCACTGAGCCGGCTGGCATTCAACGGTGTTAATGTCTTACTTCAACCAATCTACGAAATTGAGTGACACATCCACCATTGTTCCTATCTCACAACTGACCCGGTTGAGTTTCATTGGTCACTGCTTCTCATTAGAACTTCAGTAGCGTCTCTTGAAGTCATTCACTAGTGAGAAGATGATTATTATCGGAAGGGACTTTGTGGAGATTATAGAAGTTTCAATAGTTGAGATCACAAGTCAATTGAAGCTAAACCACCATGAAAAGCCTGGAATCAGTGAACGGCCGTTTTCTCTTATTAAGGAACTCCTCAGAGATTGAAGAATCATCCATAAAAATTAATAATCATATACCTAATAGTTTTAAGGAGAAACTATAATTGAAAATATATCTGGTTTGAAACAGTTATCCACTGCAAGCAATGTAAGAAGTTCACATAATATCATGAAATTATGACAGTTAGGCATATACACCATGGGGTTCTGAATCTGTGGATTAAATGTCAAAGGTTTGCTATTAGTTCTATAGGTCTTGTGATTGTGGATACTTATTGGGCTTCCAGGATTATAGTAGTGATCTAGAGTAGATCATTTCATGGTTTCAACAATGAAAATTCTTCAATATCCAATAACCACACTATACTTAAAAATGGGTGTTTAATTTCATTTATAAATGAATATGATTGATTTATGTTATTTATACTAAGCTATAGCTTAGACCTGTGAATGCATTTACCATTGGTTTGAGCATCACAAACAAATACTGTGTTAACCATGGCTTAAAATAGATTTTGATGGAGTTTTGGTCTCTGGGCTGGATAGTTTAGTCATGAAGCTTTCATCGTTCTTCTGAACAACATTACCAGCATAAACTTCAAGTAAACTTCTGCCAACTATCCAGCTCAGAGAACAAAAATTTATCACAGTCATCCACCTGAGCTACAAATCTTCTCCATCTCAAAATAGATTCATTTTAAATTCCAATGTTATCAAGCTGAAGGGACAATCAATCGAATACTAAGCACAAATGCAACATTAACGAGGATCTGTCAATCTTTAGTCAAACCGATTAACATTTAAAAAAATTCAATTAAAGATTAATGTGTACTCTAATTCACGTCATTGCAAACTATGTATCAGCATTCATTACTTTCAGCTTCATGGAAACAAATTATTTACATAAATATTGAAACTATTCAGGAAACTACTAGGAGTAAAATATCGTCAGAAGAGGTTTAGTGGAGATTTTAGTAATTTCGATAGTTGAAATCATGAGTCAATCAAAGCTTGACCACTATCGAAAACATGCAAGCACTGGACGGCCGTTTCATCCTATTGTGGGACTTCATAGTAGTGCGCATCCACTATCCTGCCCGCCAAACGAGATTCGAACCCAGGAGCTATCATTCTCGCGCGCTAGCGCTTTTGTGGAGATGTTAATAATTTTATAAGTTGAGGTCGTGAGTCAATTGAAGCTGGATGCTCACTGCTGAGGAGTCCTATACTAGGATGAAACGGCTGTCCAGTGCTTGCAGGTTTCCCATGGTGATCTAGCTTCAATTGACTCATGATTTCAACTATTGAAATATGAAAATTTATCGATGAAATTCTTAAAATTTTAATTGGTGACGTAATTGAGATTTATTATTGTACACTAGAGATGTTATGTATTGGTGGCAATGAAATGAACATTGGAAAATCTGTTAGTATATATGAATTCATTACATTTATCCTTGTTATCTTTATGGTACTTTTCTCTAATCTGAAGTGTTTCTACCAATCATATTTTAAATTCACTGTCATGACGGCTTCTATTTTTATAGTTTATGTAGCACAGAACAGACATTTCGTCTCGCTGCGGGACTCCTCAGTAGTATTTATCCACAACGTCATTTGGGATTGAACTCAGAACCTTCAGGACTCTTAGTGAACAATTAATTCTTAAACCACTAACTAAATATACAAACATTTGGTGATGTTACGCAATCTCTTGCAGTAGATAACTATCTCAAATCAGACATTGTTGAAGTTCACTGATTATAGTCTCTTATTACAACTCTTAAAATCACTTCTTAGAGTTATGATTATAAACTTCTGCAGGTTGTTTGTGGTATGAGTTGGTTTTTTATTTCGGTTTACATCATAGACTGATCTTATTTAAACAACAATTGAAAACTAGGAAGCATAAGACAGATATTTTTGTACTACAATAGTAGTTAAAAAATTTTTTTGGTTATGTATATCTATAACTTTATCTTGTTACTATTATAATGTATAATCTATTGTTTACTGAATGGCACACTAAGATTCAATGTGAATAACATGGAAGATAAATAATGTAAACCAGTGTTCATGTTATGTAATTTATGTATTTAGCTTTCTTTAATATATTTTTCATGTTTTTCTTTTTTTTCGTGTGTGTGTGTGTGTGTGTGTGTGGATATTTTAGATATCTGATACATCTACATGTTTACCCTCCAATTTATTTGATGATATAAAACCGGAATTGGAAATATGGTCCAATTTATTTAATACATCAGAAATTGTTGTAGATACTGCTAGAGAAATTTCTACACAATTAAATTTATTAAGTACACTAGAAGAGGATGATGTAAAAGAAGAAGGAAATGAATTGGAAGAGAAAGTAGAAGTGAATATTGAAAGACAAGCAGAAAATAAAAAAGAAAATGAAGAAAATCAAACAGATCATGATCAATATGATAAGAATAATAAAGAATTAGTTGATTCAAGAAGTCATACGTTTATAACAACACTTGATAATGATAAACAAGATGCTTTAAAAGACAATGAAGTAAGTTCCTTTCTATTAAAAATTTCTATTATGTATATTATTTTTAAAGCTTCTCAATCAGACCCTATTTACTTACATTTAATCAAATAAAATTTAGCGATCCCTTACTCCTGAAAATATGTTTGAATTGACTTTACAGTACTTAAAATAAGGAAACATTTATTATCTCTTCAGAAACTTATCGTAAATGGTATCAGTAATACTCTTATTTATTCTAACAGATTGAAAAACAGAGGTAAAAGTAAACCAGTATTCAGCTATTTGTTTTCATGATTTGACAATACAACGTTTTTCGTTTCATTCATGTAGCATATTGTTTTAAGTGTAATCTTTTTATGTCAATGTATACATTGACAGTAATTACTTAATGTTGTAGACGAATTTATGTATCAACTGCTGATCAACATAATCACAGTACAATAAAGAGTAAAAAAATTCATTTACTATTAATGATATAATCATAAACTTTTACTCAATACCTAGTTTATGCCTAAAATAGATGGTAGGTTTTAATGCATAGATCACAATATTATCGATAATAAGTATAATTAAAGTAATCCTTAATGATTAAAATGCGCACTTAAAGAAAGATTACACCAATTAACTTGATCTTTGGTTGATTATATCAGAAATATATTTTAGCAAGTTACTGATATCCTAGCTTCTGTGAATATAAATATTGATTAATAGCCAAGTATATAATCATCATTCAATTACAAATAACCTATTTCAAATATGAATTACCATATGTTTTAGATAGGATAAAGTGATCTATGGAATTTAGCTTCATTGAAAGTTATGTTATGATCACTTTTGGTGTTCAATGTTAGTTACTCAAAAATTAGTAAATATAAACTAATAGATTTTAACTCATTAGATCATTAAAAGAATTCATAGGTATATGTTTCAATTGTTTCGAATGATCAGTAAACAATTCTGATCAATCTCAAATTACAGTGAAACTACAGTTTAATATAATTCAATTTTTATTGATTTTCAATTTATTTTTAATTTGTGGTAAATATTTCCTTGAAAAGATGGTTTACAGGGAGAATTAATTATTTTTATTAAAAGAAAGAGTGTTACTTTCAAGAGATTGTATTTACTTTTACGTATCATATGTTAAAACTCATTAAGTAGAACGTTTCAAGCACGAAAACACTTATATGTTCACCTTAAACTGTTAAATACTCACATTCTATTATAACATAAAAATAGGCTATGGAAATAAACATAAATAACTTGATGTTTAAAATAATTTGTTCAAAGCATTAATTTAAAAGCTAAATTTTTCATCATATATGAATTTTATAGAATAAATACATTTACTTTTATTTATTTATTCATTCATTTTAACACATAAATATTGGTACAAGAGGGCACCAAATACATATGCGCCACACGAATCTCAATTGATATGTGTGAGGGCTGTGATACTGCCCGGGTGCCCAAACCGAAGCAGGTGGTTTTCTTAGGGGGTCACAACCCGAGCCTTCGACCTGAACGTCTGACCTACAAGGCAGTGGAGCATCGTAAGGAGATGCAGTCCCATGGTAATTGGTGACCAACGATTGGTTCATACGCCATTTGTTCCCTCAGGCAGGATACTGGAGCCCATGTGCACCATTGATTTGGGATCCGGTTAAAGCGCTGGACATTTGCTTTTCGTCCTCTCATTTTCGTAAACAACAGTAATGCCACGAGAAGGCAGTGAGTAGGACTTCCCTGGCAGAGGCTATATACGCGTGGCCATGTGAGAGCATTTGGAGAGGGAGAGCGGACTCTCCCCACTCTCGGCCGTACCAGGGCATTTGGGGGCATTTACTAACATGTAGTTTCCGTTTGTACTTATCAATTCAAAATATTTTTAAAGACCATCCTAGGTATAGAGGTTATTGTTTATGACATCTAACTATCTAACATCACTATTAGTAATCATCAAGCAGCCATTACGTAATAGACGGAAATGTAAAAATTTTCAGGTTGGTATGAAATAGATGGAATGTGGTTAGCAGAGTAATTCATGATGCACGTCTGACTCTATTTAGGACGTATCAACTGGATATGCCATTATCCTAGAATTGATATCCACTCTAGGAATCGAACTCAGTACCGTTTATCTCAATACTACCGAGTGATTGGCTATCTGGACTCACTAGCTAAATGAATAACATGATGGTGCTTGATATCAATACGTGGTGTATACTACTTGTGTCTACGAACATAAGTAGTATGTAACACTAATCAGAATTGGAATGTCTGGCAACAGAAGGTTGAAAAGATCAGATTGAAGAGAACAGAAAGTAATTTTCATAACAGCAGCAATGTAAGAATGATGTAGTTTGAACAAGACAATTGATGATAGATATTCAAATGAAGTGTTGAATGTATAATTTTCATATTCTCCGAAGACATTCTGTAATTTTATATGGAACAGTAAATTGTTATTCCTCTTCTGAGTTCTCGTTCCCTACAATTTCAGATAGCTTTTGTCTTGAGTACTTGTTCGTTAAAAAAAATAACTTTACTGTATAATTTGTAATATAATATGATAAATTAATTTGATTAAACTGAAACATGATAGTCATTCTGTAGTGAACAAGAACGCGAGTAGGGACAATCGAATGTATTCAAACACGAAATTACAGAACATCACACTAAAATCTGAGAGCCATACAGTAAATAGTTGATTTACAAAATATTAATCCATCGTCTCAAACTTGACTGCTCCTTTTGTATATATCAGTCCATCGTTTCAGATTCCATTAGTCATACATTTACCTACCGATTTGCTTTCCGTTTCTGTTCTTTCTTTCTCAATCTTCTATTAAAAATCATTTTATTCCTGATTATCTTTATATACTACTTGTGTAGATATAAGTAGCTCACACTACAATTCAACTTGTTTTTATGATAATACTAAACTGTATAAATTAAAATTTGATTTCCTATTCAAATATGTGCAACATATTAGACAAATATTCAAGTTACATTATAAATTCTATTTACCTACATTTATTTTATAGTTAATATTATAACATGTTGATTTCATCTGTTTATAACAGATTAGTTTAATGTATATTTAATTCCCACCAGTATACCCTAGAAACTTGAATAGATTGATTAAAGTTTTTTTGCTTTATTGTTGTTTAAATGTTATTCTATATGTGCGTGTATGAAAGATAAACAAAATTGTACTAGTAGTATGTTAATTCATACTTTAATTTTAATGGTATATCATTTTCTCTTTTTTTTATTATAAAAAACAATAATTCAATGACAAAAAATGGGGGGGGTGAGAAAAAGAAGTTAATAAAACATTAAAATGATCCAGATAAAGGACAAGATCAGTTCCATAAGTATTTCTTTTTAAAAAAAGATAAACTTGACATAAAAATTGATTATTTCAGTTTAGAAGGGGTTTTGTGGAGATTTTAGTAATTTCATTAGTTGAGATCATGATTTGATTGAAGCTAGATTACCATGGAAAACCTGGCAGCACTGAATGGCTGTTTCGGCTTGTTGTGAGACTTCTCTATAGTGTGCATCCAGCTTCAATTGACTCATAATTTCAACTATTAAAATTATTTAAATCTCCACAAAAACCCTTGTGATATTAACCAACATATGCTCACTAGTGACTAGCTTCAAGATGTATATCCTGGAGTTCTAATGAGAAGCAGTGACCAGTAGAGTTCAACCGGGTCTTTTTTGAAATAGTAACTCACTGATGACAATAGTGGATGTGTCACTTAACTTCGTGGATTGGTTGAAGTTAAACATTAACACCGTTGGTTAAGTGCTCGCACGAGAGACCAGTAGTTCCTCGGTTTGAATCCTGCAAGACGGGGTCGCGAATGCACACTGCTTAGGAGTTCTACAACAGGATTAAACAGATATCCAGTAATTCCAGTTTTGCATGGTGGTCTAGTTTCAATTGACTCATGATCTCAACTATTTCACTTTTTTTTATTATTATTTTTAAAATGGTCACATTCACTAGGGGAAAAAATAGAAACAACAATGAATAGAAACTATAATTTATAATATGAATCCACTAATAGAATCTACAAAATAATATTCACTTGGTGTAGGATGAAATTTTTCTTTTCGTAGACAAATAGTTAATTAGTAAGATGTTAATTTTATAAATTATTTGTCAGTTAATTTACTTTCAAAGTATGCTAATTAAATATTCAACTGATGTTTTTTTTCTTGAGTATCTTAGTGGTTTAATCTAATGTATCTATGATTCGTTTGGAGTAAACAGATGTAATATATATATATATATATATATATACTTGGTATTGTTTGCTTGTATATTCCCATTGACATTTAAAACTTCAATTGATCAGTCTCTTATTGGCATATGTGCATAATGTGCGTATTGCCTTAATTTACAAGCATTATAGGTAGAGATGAATAGTGGTTATTCATGTAATCAAGGACGCACATTTCGTCCCATTTGAGAATAGTCAGCTGGATGTAATCTCACAGGATGCACATTTACCAACAAGAGATTGTTCAATTGTAGTCCTAAACAACAATTGGAAGATACAAGCTAACAATATCAAGTGAATTTAAAATTCACCCCATTGCACGAGGAATTAGCTATCAGGACTCAGTGGCTGAGTCAACACCGCGATGGCGTTTGAGGCGTACGATACTGGGTTTGAGTCCCGGAGTGAACATCAACTGTGTAATGCAAGTACATGGAGCTGACGAGTCCCAGACAGGACGAAGCGCACGTTCTGGATTCCACTGTTGATCACTATCCATCTTTACCTACAAAGTTATATATATATATATATATATATATATATATATATATATATATATATATATATATATATATATATATATTACGACCACTGAATTAACCACTTCTATGAATCCTGTGTTCATCTTGTTGTGCGAACGAGGTATGGCAATTTGGATCGATGCACATATGTGCCTCGTCTTACGTTGTAAGTGACTGACTGATATATGTGGAATAAAAT